CCCCCCCTCTCCGTTCCTCCAGAGCTCATTGGAGGGACAGAAAAGGGAGGGGGCGGGCACAGTTGGCTGTCAATCAGGCAGCAGGGTGGATACCGGCAATATTGTCAGGATCTTTCCCTGTGTTATCAGCATGTAGCGGGGTATATGCTGACTTTGGGTCACAGGAGTAAATTAGTAAATGTGCTCCTGTGACCCAAAAGAGGACTAAAGCCAAAAAAGGTGTGGCTATAGTTCTTTTTTTAAAAGCCTTCCTGGTAGCAATTTCTTACTTTAAAGTTCCACATGTGTTCAATGTATTTTTGTATCTTGCTGGTAAGAAGTGGCCCGAGTTCTACCACAAGACTTAAGTACACTTGACCTACTACAAGTGTTGATGAGCATCGCTCTTCTATAGTATACGACTTTAGTGTGTACTGATTAGACAACTGTAAAGGTGCCCATACAACTTACAACCATCGCACGACTTTCGTTATGCGATGGTTGTAAGGTAATTAAAACCTTGTACGATCTGCCCATCGTGGACAGGCAGATCGTACTTGCGATCATTGCAAGCCCTCCCCGCTGAGGGGAGGGCTTCCGATGATTCCAATGCTGAGCCTGCGCACACTGGCCCATTTGGCATTTGTCTTCCGAGCAGGTCTAGCTCGGCAGGTTTTCAAGCGTGTTCGGAAGACAAGACGTGCGACCGTACAATAGAAACGGTTGCACGCCTTCCATACACCTGCCGATTTATTGTACGATCGCGGGATCACCTGCGATTCTCATACGATAATCGGCAGGCACCTTAGCAGTGAGTGCATTGTTTTGCTGGCAAGGGCTCCCTTCTTGTACAGATGAACAAGATGTAGGGAAAAGTGTGCTACCTAGTGCCTGGCAGCTGGTAAAATTAGCTCCCCGATTAGATGCTATTTCTGGAAAGCTGTGTTGGATTACCTTGTGTAACATTAACCTTTTCCTTCTCATCCACCTGCGGCACGGCTTAAAAGGAAGGTTGCTTCAAGACAAATGTGATAATGGAAAATATCCCACAGAACACATTAGCCTTTAGCTCCTGAGCTGTTCTGCTTGTGTGTTATGTGGTAATGTGCAAAGCTTTGTAGGAAGTTGTGTGGCTTTGCACTTCTACTGGGGAATATATTTTTAGCAAAGTGAATGAAAGTTGGATGTCTGTAGCAATGCAACTGCATTCACCATGGGGCTGACGTAGGAATATATGTAGTGTCCATAAGAACCAATCGGCACCTGTTTTATTTTCAGACCTGGGCTGCTGGCATGCATGTTGATGGATGTTGTGCTGATTGTATGCATGCAGTGCTGTGGATATGTTGTAGTGGCATTCTGATCATTTCAAGGGAGGGTGCTGCAGGTGGGTATGGAATTGGGTATTAGTGTTTCTCAGGTAAGACACTTTTTGCATATGAACTGGCAACAGAACTAGACAACAATAACCCTCTACGGAACAAAAACACTGACAACATACGGACCTTG